ATTAACTTTGTAAATTAATATTTTTCAGTTTGACAGTATGAAGTTAACTAGCTACAACCCAGAAAAGAACTATAGGGTCCTGAAAATAGAGCTTAATGACTGGGACAGTGACCTTTAAGAGTTAACACGTAATCTTTGGTAGAAATGGAGTTCTACTTTCTTTCTAAAATCTGGTAACTTAATTTTTAAAAACCACTTTCAGTGCTTGGCCTATATATGTTTGAAATTAGAGCAGTTATGTATTGACAGTATCATCTGAGGACACTCTAGTGGTACATCCAGTTTTTCTTTTTCTTTCAGGAATTGATGCCAACATAAAGGACAGTTTAGGTAGAACTGTCTTAGACATCCTGAAAGAACATCCATCTCAGAAATCTCTCCAGATTGCAACACTCTTACAAGGTAAATGGCATTAAAAGATGGACAAGTTTTCTTTAAACTTAAGATTAATTTAAAAGTGTCATAGTTTTTTGGGCTTTTGAGTTAGTGTTTTTTTTAATGGACTTATTATTTACATTTTCTCCTAGTGCATGTTATAACTAAAGAATATTACTTTATAAATATTTTACACCTTGTTGTAACTATTCAGTATTAAAAAAATTTGTTCACTACTTGGGTATTTAAAAATCTTTTAAAAATCCATGTAGTAAATATATAGTGACAACTTAAGATTAATAGGGCTATGTACAATGGTAATGATTAAATATTATCCTAAATTTTAATTAAATTTTAACTTTTATTAAGTATTTGAGTAATATTTTGAGAGATTTTAGAGTTCTTCCTATTATTTTGTCTGATTTCTATGAATACAAAATAGGTAAAGTAGATATTATTCTCCTTTTTTTGTACATGTGGGAAACTGAAGCGCCAATAGATTAAACTCAAACCCATCTATCTATTGTATGCAGAGCTAGTCCATGAATGTTGGATTAGAAGCAACAACAGCCAGCATTGGTTTTGGTTGAAAGAACATTATTTTCTTCCTAAACCAGTAGACAATATAACCAACTCAGTCTTATCAGCCTTTGTTTTTGATAAAGATTAGTTCATTTGTAGTTGGCTGCAGTCATTAGGTTTATTGAAGATTAGACAGCCTTCTAGCTACTATCTTTTCATTTATAGAGGAACAAAGTTTTCCATTTATTTAAAATTTCTTTGAAAAAATGTAGATTTAAATGTTTTATTTTTCTCCTTGACAATTAAGCCTGTCATATATCATGTTTCCCTAAAAGCCCCTGATGTTCTTTCTGTCCTTTCTAGTAGTTATTGTAACTTTCACCAATGATTATGTCCAGCGATTACTACAGATTAACTAGAATAACAGAGAAGGGAAATGGGACAGTTTCAGTAGATAGCAGTTGGGAACTAAAGAACAGCATTAATATGCAGGGAGATACATGAATTAAATCCAAGTGGGGCAGGACATGATGAGCTATCAAAGGCTAAGTGTTCAATATGCTCTCTTCTCTATTTCCAGAAGATTTCAAGAAATTTCAGCCCCCTACAATTTTTTGTCAATAAAGAAGTTAATTTCATGCTAAATGTATGCAGTGATGTATTAGGAAACTCACCTATGGCTTTTCACATAATTCAAATTAAAATAAAGTAAAATGAACATTGTATACTAAAAAAGAACATGGTATAATTCTAGACATTTTGATATATGTAGATGAAAAATGTAGATGAAAATGATATTAGGTAGGAGTAAACTGTGACCATAATAAACTATGATATGACTAAGATTCATTAGATATGTTAATTTGTATGTGACATCTTTGAATTTTTCAAATTGTTGGCACATTTCAGAATATAAACATATTCCATTGTTTACATTTCCAGATTTCAAATCACTGGTGCATTTTGAAAATGTAATGAAAACGTTTGTAATTGAAAGAAAGCTCTATCACATCTGGCTTATTTCTTGAGATGAGATCTTTCTAACTTTTCAGGTTGTCCTTGAACTACAATCCTTCCTATATTTATCTCCTGAATAACTAGGATTATAGGTGGGAGCCAGAACACCTGGTCAATATATTTATTTTTTGAGGAAATATAATATTTTCATTAAAAATTAGCAGATTATCATGAAGTTCTTTTGATTTTTAAATTCTTTTAAAAATTTAGGATATACTTAAGATATGAATTAATAAAAATAATCAGAAGTAAAGCATAAAGTATTTATTTTAACATAAGTTTAAGTTTGTAATATCAAAAACATATATACACAGAATATTTGGAAGGTGTCGGAAGATCAGCAGTGCTTGGAGAACTTGTTCAGGAAGATACAACACAAGGAATACATATTT